GTTCAACATCTGCAATGATAACTGTTATAAATGGTAAATTATGTTAAAATTTTTAAGGTAAAATGTAGCAGCTAAGATATAGTAATAACATACACTCCTATGTTAAGAAAAGACACATAATTTCTTTTTGTCCAAATTCTGATTTCCAAAGGAAACCAAGACTATGTTGTTCTAATCTGAGTAAGTGGACGGAAGGGCAAATACGGCAAGTAGAGACATAGTGCCTCTATACCTAAATTTGAAGGTGGGAAATCTCTTCCATGGAAAGCTACAAAGGAATGCCTGTGCCACTTTCTAAAAACTTCTTCATCCCAACCAACATAACTCATTTAGAAGAGATAACTAACCTCAATAATTTATGGAAATTTTCATAACACAATTCAAAATGTGAAAATAACAAAAAATCACTAATAGGAAAACAATTTTGATAGAATTAAAATAGGAGTAATTACCTATAAGCTGAAAAAAGAAAATATTTTTAGGTATTACAAAGCAAAACAGGAACTCACCGGATATTTTTGAGTATAGAGGTTCTTCCATTTCACTGTAATACTATAGTCAAAAAATGCAGTGAAATTAAAGAGATGCATGAATTATGACAGTCCAGCTGCAACTGACCTGATTATAGATAAAAGAATGTTTTGCCACCTTCTTAAACAAAGCAGAAGGTATGTCATTTATCTTTCTTGATGATGATTTCCCCCTGACTTTCCCACTCTACTTCCCACAACAGCTGCTATCCAACATCTATTGCTACCAAGTGGGAGGGTTTGCAACCAATTGCAATTCTAACTGGATAAAATATCTGCCATGTACATGAAGTGACTGGCTTTCCCTATGAAAAGATTTAATAAGCATAAATAATGTAACAAAAAATACTTCCTGTATAACTAAATTTTACATTTATCACATAGGTATATTCACAGATTTTTTTTAATATACCAACTGGCCAAACTTTTTTAAATGAGGAAACTATATATTCAAAAATTACACAAAATAAACATCATCCAGAAAACTACATTTAATATTTTAGCAGTACAGATATAAGATTACCCTCTTTTAATATCAAAGTTAAAAATAAAGGCCCAATAAATTAAACTAAGTGCTAAATATTTGTTTGATAGTATCATCTGGGAGGGGGAAAATCTTTGATGCTTTTTTAAAAAGTGAAAATTAAAACTACAAGTTAATTAGATTCAGAAAATAATCTTGAATATGATATATTTATTAACCATATTCATGTAAAATTCCTATATTTTGCATTTTAGCATATTTTGTATTAAGAGATATAAATTTCTACTATTTGTTAATGAAAAGAATACATATCATTGGACTTTTAGTACTAAAAACTGTTTGTGTATATACAGAATATTTTGTTTTCACTAATAATCAGTCAACAAACATTTATTAGGCATCTATTGTGTACTAAGAACTGTGCTGATCACAATGAAATCACAATGGTGTACATCACAATAAAATGGATTGGGAATATAATGGCCTAGTCTTAATTGGTCTATGACATTTTAAATTCTCCAACCCACTGGGCTAAGAACTGGAGATACAAAGAAAAGCGAGAACTATTCTCAAGGAATCCACAATCTAATGGAGGGGATAATATGCAAACAATTAGCTACAAACAAGACATATACTGCATAAACTGAGGATAGTCTCAGAAGGAAGGAACTAAGACTGAGGAGGACTAGGAAAAAGCTTCTTGCAGAAGGTGAGACAAGGTGGGACTTTAGCTGAGACCTAAAGGAAGCCAGAGAAGCCAGGAAGTGGAGATGAAGACAGGGAGAGTACTAGGCATGGGAGAAATGCTCTGAGTTGGGAGATGGAGTGCTGAGTGCAAGGAATAGCAAGGATCACAATAGCAAGGTCACTGGATCACAGAGTAAGTAAAGGAGAGTAAAGGGAGTTGGGGGTTGCAGGGTGGCTGCAGGTTATAAAGGACTTTAAAAGCCAAACAGATTTTATACTCGATCCTAGAGGTTATAGGGAAACACTAAAGTTTATTGAATAAGAGAATGACATGGTCTAACCTCCATTTCAGGAAAACCAATTTGACAGCTGAATGGAGGATGGATTGGAAGGACTTGGGGCAGGAGCTGATGACACCTGCCACTTCAAAGGAGAGAATGGGGTGTATATGAGTGCTGTTATGAAGATAATAATGACAGAACTTGATCACTGATTGGAAACGGAGGGTAAGAGAGAGAGTGAGAAAGTTGAAGATGATATCTGGAGCCTAGATGAGTGGGAAAATGGTGGTACCCTCCACAATAATAGGGAAGTTAGGAAGAATAGAGTGGGATAGGGAGAGAAGATAATTAATTCAGTTTGGGATATGTTAAGTGTATGATGTCTATGAGACATAGTTCAAGATGTCCAAAAGACAATTAGAAATGCAAAACCAGAGGTCAGCAAAGAGGTTAAGGTGGGATAAGCAGATTTGAGAATTATCAGTATAGAAATGGTAATTGAATCCATGGACGCTGGTGAGATTACCAAGTGAAATAGTAGATTGGTACAAGAGACATAGCCCTGGTGTCCCTGTGGGACACCTACAGTTAGCAAGTATGAAATGGATGAAGATCCAGCAAAGAAGACAGAGGAGCAGTCAGACAGATAGGAGAAAGACCAAAAGAGAGCAGTGTCATGAAAACCTAGGGAAAAAAGTATCAAAGAGAAGAAGGTGATCAATAGTATCAAAGAGTGCAGAAAGGTCAAAGAAGTATGAGGATTGAAAAAGGGCCATTATATCTGGTGATTAAGAGATCATTAATAATTTTGGAGAGAGCAGTATTGACTGAATGACACAGTCAGAAGCCAGACTGCAACAAGAGAATGAGAGGAAAGGACAAAAAGGCACCTATTGTAGATGCCTATTGTAGATGGTGTCAGAGCTACCTAATACTATGGACACAAATGATACTTGTATATGAAAAGCCAGAGAAGGACACAGTGTACTAGGAGCATTCAAAGCTCTGTTTCAGTGCTCGTGAGCTCCATCATTGCTCATTACCTCTCTGTGTCCACCTAATTCCTGTCTAACTATGCAATTTGCCCTTGTTTCCTCCATCTTAGTACCTTTGTTCATTAGTTCTTTCACATTTACATGTAGACTGATCTTCCTATGTGTGAAAATGTCAAGCCAAAAAAAGTTTCCACCTACTCCCTTCCTATCTCTTGGTGGATCTTTCTACAGGCTAATTTTTGGGAGAGATCAGAATTTGGAACTCAATACTCCCTTGGTATCCAGTAGTGGAAGTAAATGGCCTCAACTGGTCTATGACAATTTAAATTCTCCATCCCTTCTCTTCTTGTTACTGCAGCCCATAGCAGGGAAATGGAGGGATAGGGTACCTTTCCTCTTCAAAAGCAGCTGACCAAAGTGGCAAAACAGTATGTTCAGATACCCATCCAAAGAGAGACTGTTTTAATAAATGGATCCTAGAGCTCTCTAACCTTAAAATGCAAGCCTCTGGAGTTAAATGACCATCCTCAAGAAAAAGACTGGATGGCTACCTCAACAGCTTCCTTAGCCTCCTCAGCCATAGCCCACTGAGATTCTCCACATATTTTCAGAGTAAGCTGACAAAATGGCGGACTTCCTTTTTAAAGCATAGCCGTATAAGAAGTGCTGCCCTCACTATCAGGTCTATCTGCTCATGCAAAGGGCAGGTTCTAACTCTCCTGACAAACTAGGCCATCCAATGGTAGATGGTACTTGT